ATGTTTAGGGTACATTTGTAAATCGAACAGTCTACAGATGGTCCTCATGTGAGATGTTTAGGGGGCATCTGTAAATTGTAGTGTCGCCCAGTAGAGTGCATGTGAGGTGTTCGGGGGACATCTGCAAATTGTAGCATTTACTAACAGTCTGCATATGAGATGTTTAGAGGAGGTGTAAGTTGTAGCAACTACAGACAGTCTGAATGTGAGGTGTTTAAGAAACATATGTTAATCGTAGCACTTACTGATAGTCTGCATGTGAGGTGTTCAGGGGACATCTGTAAATTGTGGGTGGTTCTTTAAGGACCACACTTCCTACAACTGTGTTTTAGCACTTTATTGCACGGCACCAGTAATAACCTTCCTGCAGTGATAGATGAATAAAACATTGACCAAAGACAGACACAGCTCTTACAAAACAGAAACCCAAAATACAAAATACATTCCTTCTGTAAAATATTACAACAAAGAAATATCCAGCAAATCTACAGCTGCAGAGAAACAAAACATTTACATCATCAACAGTGACACTGAACAGGTCTCGACAGCTGACCCTGGTGAACAAGCACAAAGCTGCTGGAGGTCCGTGAAGAAATAATAATATAAATAATATTATATATTTATAATAATATAAATTAACTGGATGTTATGAGTTTTCCATGGTAAAAACTAATATACAGCTACGATGATCATCTCTCCTGTGACTGTTTAACACTCATTCTTCTTCTGTCCTGCTGCAGGTGTAAAACACACAGGAAGTAAGTCGTGCTGAAACAGGAAACTACAGCTTCACAACAGTGTTACACTAAACTGAGTCCCCTACATTGACTTCCTGTTCAGTCCTGGAGTGATCTCTGTCCACACTGAGCTTCTCCCTTTGGTTCATAAATAAACAGACGTTACAGATTATCTTTTGTCTAATCACCAACACAAAGTTGTTGTGTTGTTTAATGTTGAAGTATTTTCATACTTTAAACTGACCTGATGAGATTCAGGAAACAGAACGAACCTTCTCATCTCTCTGATTGAAGAGAAACTGAACTCCACTGAGTTTCACATCAACAACAAATTATAATATCTGTATTCCCTTTGACATGTATCTGAATGTCCAGATCAATCATGTTCACTGATTTAAATGAGGCGTTCACTGACGTTCCTCTACCTGTAAAACAGCCTCATATTCTGACATGAATGTCACGTGTGGTGGGTCATTTTCATCACAACACAATCAAATGTGAGAGAGTGAAAAACTAGACAGAAGGTTGTATCCCTCCCCACATCCCTGTTTATCCAGAGTCAAATAAAATATGATCCGTTTGTGTCAAATTTTGTCAAAAGTTATGTTAAGTCTTGAGTAATAGTTATAAGGGGTTTTGTGAGGTCACACTGACCTTTGACCTTTGATCACCAAAGTCTAATCAGTTCATCCTTGAGTCTCGGTGAAGGTTTTTACCAAATGTGAAAGGATTCCCTTGAGGAGTTCTGAAGATGTTGTGTTCACACAGCCAAACCCATGTTTTGTGACATTACCATGACCTTGACCTTTGACCTTTAGCCACCAAAAATCACTCAGTCTGTCCTTGAGTCCTAATGAATGTTTGTGCCAAATTTGAATAAATTCCCTCAAGGTGTTACGGAGATATCGCGTTCACAAGGCTAAAACCATGTTTTTTGAGGTCACCGTGACCTTGACCTTTGACCTTTAACTACCAAAATCTAATCAGTTCATCCTTGAGTCCTAGTGAATGTTTGTGCCAAATTTGAAGAAGTTCTATCAAGGCGTTACTGAGATATCGTGTACAAGAAAGACACAGACGTACAGACAACCTGAAAACAAAATGGCGGCTCCAACTGTCGCCAGCAGAGGAATAAAAACAAAACGTGACCCGACATCATTGTTCATACAGAAGCTGGAATAACAGCAGAGCAGGTGGAGAGGACAGCATCAGCTGACTCTGTCTTTCAGTTCTTTCTCTCCTCCGGCTCGTCACTGGTGAGGTATTCAACGTGAGTCCATAAACACCACATCTACAGAGAGGAGGATGGATCGCATGTTCACGTTCACAACTATTCCATCATGTTTATGGTTACCACGGGTTACTGAGTGTTTGAGGGCGAGCTCCTACCTCCGCTGACAGAGCCAGCAGGCGGCCTGTGACCAGCAGCGTCGTCCCCAGAGCCTGGACCCAGACAGGCAGAGACAGTAAATCCCTCTGGAGCCCGTACAGCCACAGAGGGAGGCAGTGCAGCCCGCTCACCACCCACGTGCCCAGCGGCGTCCGAAACCCTGAAGGCAGCACAAAGTTTAAATTAACTCTGTCATTCATCTTCATCATCATCATCATCATCATCATCTTATTCACAGACACACACTCGTTACCGTTTGTCATGATGGCCTGAATGAGTCGGGGGCTGCAGGTGAAGCTGCTCTTCCAGTGTTCCCCTCTGGTGCTGTGGTTACACACAAATACACACCACTCCAATGCAGACACCAGCCAACCCCACTGCAACACACACACACACACACACACACACACACACGAAACCATTAACAACATTATACACATCACAGTGCAGGAGCTGGTTTCACAGAGACAGACTTTGACTCAGATTGTCAGAGTCTGAATTCATCTGTTGCACAAAGTTTAGTTTTCTTGACTATCTTAAGCCAGACTGTGGTGCAATGGATTCTGGGTAAATTAAGGCTTTTCTTCACAATCTAAAAAAAATGGCTGACAGGGGAACAACATCCACCCGCTCAGCTCCTTTTACCTTCAGCAGAACATGTTTGTCTTTTGGAAGAAATCGACAGTTACAACAGTTTTACTTGGAGAGTGAAACAATAAAAAAACAAAATGGCCAACGTCTCTAAAAACTCTTTCCCTTTCTTTCCATAACAATGTCAACAAACCACAAATTATGAGCCATGTTTTCCTGTTTTATTGTTTTTGGGTGCTGCTGGTCAGTGCAGGTGTCATTGATTGTTACCATGGTAACACTGGTCTTAGTAAGGTGTCTAATGTTTTTGGCTTAAAATGAGTCAGTCTTTATTTTAGTGAAACAGTCTGACCGACATTAGACCGGACCAACGCACAGCACTGCCACCGCACCTCAAACAGCTGGCCCCACAGCATGCCTCTGCCCAGGTTGTCCACCACTACGTCCAGCCAGGCCCCAAACCTGGAGCTCTGGCCCAGCCTCCTCGCCAGCCACCCGTCCACTCCTGCACAAAACACATCATTATATCACTTTTACTATTATTATTACTATTATCCAACGTCTCACCTTGCTGCGCTGCAGAACAGAGAGGTTCAGGAGATCCTTTGTCTCCACTGCCATCAGGCTGTATAACACCACAGCCAAAGGAAGTAGCTTGAGAACTGGACTAATTTACCTATTATGTCTATTGTTAACTATTATTATTATTATTACTACCATTATCATAATTTTTATTATTACTGCACTGCAGAACAGAGAGGTTCAGGAGATCCTTGTCTCCACTGCCATCCAGCTATATAACACCTCAGCCAAAGGAAGTGGCTTGAGAACTGGACTAACTTAATTATTATAGGGTTAAAGTATCTATCTATCTATCTATCTAACTATCTATCTATCTATCATAAATAAGTTATAATATATCTATTATAACTTATTTATTCAATATCATTCATTTCATCCATAATACGTATAATTTATAATCAGGTTCCTCATTTGGTGAAGTGCATCTTTTATATAACATGACAGGACGCAGGTCAAACAAGATAAAAAGATGCCACATTACCATCCAGTGCTATGGAGACAGAGTATAGAGGGACAAATACAGCTGGTGTCTCAAAGGCGCGCCATGCCGCAAACACAAGGCCGATCCTAATGTATCCTGAAACACAAATACACACATTAATTATGTGACTTAAACTGTTCCTTAAAGTCCAACCATGTGTTTCTCACCAATAATATTCGGCCAGTACAGCAGCACATTGAGGGCCATCTCCCGTCAGTAGTTAGTGATGCAATGTAATTCCTGGAAGAAGACGATTAAAACCGACCCCACTAACTATGAAAACAAGCGCGCGGCACATGTCGTAACTCATCCATCGACATGTTAACACTCGGATCCTCTTAACGAGTTTTTAAAGTGACGTGCTGCGGGTGTTCTTCATGTTCGTCACACCACCTGGCGACGTGTAACTCTGGAGCGTGCGCAGAAGCATCACGCCAAACTCAAGTCAAAAATTTGGAGATTTACTGGCACCACATCAGCATAGTTTTTGACGGTTAACGCCCCTACTTGTCTGTGCGGTACATTTTAGTGCAAAGGAATTAGTTAACCGATCTTGCCAAAGTCATTAAAATCCCCACACAAAACCAAAGATGTATTAAGTGATGTTCTACGTAAAGGATACCTCGCGTATGAGTCAGCTAAGATTAAACTGGTACATTTTTAAATAGAGTTCGGCGTGATGCCTCGTTGTAAACATGGGAACTGGAACGAGCTACCGTTAGCCTAATATATGGTTGCTAAGTGCATCTGAATTAAATTAAACTGAATAAGTGTGCTAACTTTTTATAGCTGACAACACGGCGTGCCTCTTCCCTTTTATCACCTCAGCTAGCTTCCGCTGAGTAACGTTAATATCTGTGTCGCTGTGGTGAATGTTAGCCAGTGTTATTTAGCAGAGTGCCCACAAGATGGCGCCACTCAATCCTCTTTACAACCTGTGCTCCACTCACTTACACAGGCATACACATTAACAGCTCGGTATGACTGCGCATAATGAGTCAAAACCTATTTTATAGTTTGTAAACAAAAAACAGAGGAAAACACTTTATGGAGAAACTGACGTTGAAATCAAACGCCTCTGTTTGTAACTTCGGTTGTGTTTACAGGCATTTGAAGGAGCTGATCAACTGACCTGTAGAGTCAGATCATGTGACAGAATGGAGGCGTCGCTGAAAACATTCACCCGTTCACCACATACACACACCACCAGGAACCTGGTTCACAATAAATGGATACGGCGAGAAACACTTCTGCTCAACTCGGCTCGTAACGTTCATTTCCTCACATTGCAATGAAATGAGGGGAGCATGGGGGCCAAAGAGTCGAGGATAGGATTCCTGTCGTATGACGAAGCCGTCAAGAGAGGTAAGCCGAAAAAGCAAGTGACTAAATCCACCTCAGTTTGCGCTAGCTTAGCCGAGTGTCTGCTATCAGGCTAGCCCGGTACATATGAGGAGGACGTCCTGACCACACGCTGCAATCTGGTGATTTAAGTGGCCTTGGTTACTGTACACGGTAGACACTTGTCCAAAAAAACAACACACGGCCTCTACGGCACTGCTAGCATCCATAACTGAATTCGGCATAGAAACATTTAGGAAAACTGCCCGGATTTTAATTAGATGTTAAGGTGTACATTAGCTAAACCTGTATTTTCATCTGTCGCCTTCCCCCCCAAAACACACTCCGTTTGGCTGCAGTGAGAAGCGTTTCGTAGTAATTACATCTTAATTAAATTGTAGTTAAAAGTACGTATATGGATTTTTGCCATCCCGAATTTAGGTATTCTTTATAGTTATATCGAAATAGCGCTGACTTGTGTTTTATGAGGCGCGTATCTTCGCTTATCAGCAATGTCACGTTAAATTGACGGATTTTTGGACGGAGCTTGGTGTGACGTTCTCTCCATGTCTGCGAAAGCGGCACTTGTGTAGCTAAGGGTGTTCTGGCTTGACAGTATTCAATCAAAACAGTTGTGCAGATAGATTTGAATGTGTGCTAACTTTTTTTGGCTGACAACACGGTGTGTGTCTTCTCTTTTATCACCTTAGCTAGCTACCGCTGAGTAACGTTAATATCTGTGCTGCTGCTAGCTTACTTGTCAAAGCTAGACAGTTAGCTGGCTCGCTACAAGCTAAGTTACCCCAGAGGGAAATGCCTCCAGACTGTTTGTTTTATTTTACTTATTTATTTATTTTTTGCTTGGATCGGCTAACGTTGATCATCAGTGTGTGTACTGGTGGTGTGTCGGGTTGTTTCTGCTAATCTGCACACACATGAGCTAGCCGTGCAGTCAGGGCGTTTGGCGGAACAACAAACAGATGTGTTTTGCTCTCGCTGCACTCAGACGCTTCAAAATTAGCTTGTGGACATTTTTTGTAAACTGAGGGAGCCATTGCTTCATCTCTAACATTAAGCAGGAACTCATTAACCCGTATCCACTATGCATTTCAGCTCATATAGACTCAGGTGCACCTACACAAGTGTTTTGCTGTCATGTGAGGTTACAGTTACAGTCTAGATGGCTGAGGTAAAGCTGTGTTGTAATTTATGCACAGCCTGAGTGTTGGTGCACTTATGTAAGATGTGGGTGAGCATTTATCAGGAAGCACACAGGAGATCTTATCCATGATGGCCTTCTTGTTGCACTTTACTCCCTGGGTTGGCAGCAGCTGACCTTTGTCAGTCTGGACTGCAGGCTGTGAGAGGCTGTTACACATTCATCCAGGACAGCGTGAGACCGGTCTGTCCTATTACAGTCACATTTAGCTAAATAATTATGGCCTTATAGTCAAAAATCTTTAAGATTATTGTTTCCACACAAAAACAGTTGCATATATAAATAAACCTTAACCTATTCTGTTGTTTTTTTCTTATTACCTACATGCCATATTTTCAGTGTCGCCTCCTTGTGCATTGGTTTTTGAACATTCCTCAAGCCAATCGCCATTCCAACTCGCATGATCACATGTGACCACACACACAGCACACTTACACACAGGGGGTGGTGGAATTATCCAGCCATCCAGCCTTATCTGACCAGTCACATGGCAGCATTCCTAATTCCCACAGCAGGGCCGGAGTGTAGCAATTACTGGGTCAGTTTTCACGGAGGCTCGCTCCAGTAAGGATGATGATGGTCAGGGAAGGTAGCATCCTGTTGGAAAGGCTTTGATGTGTTCCTGTTGTAAAACTCAGGATCAGTCAGAGTTCCTTCAAACCTGATTTTGTGAAGTTGAACATGTCCTGTCTGTTCACTTTTACAGATTCTAATTGCTGGAATATATCTACAGTAAAACTAGTATTTTTGCAGTTTGAGAGATGTTCAAATTCACATATTCCTATTAGATGAGCATATTTTTAAAGACAACAACCTTGGATCAGTGCTGTCATACGTGCGATGACATTTGACATCACAGTAAAGATTTACAGTTGCCATTTACAGCAAAGATTCAGGACACAGTTGATGTGATGTTTGTTCCTGATTCACTGACAAAGTCTTGAAATCCTTAACTGTTTCATTACATTAGCCTGAGCAGATGAATATGCTTATTATGTCGGAGAAACATGATTTGTCATGAATGAAGGTGACGCATTCGTGTGGTATTGTGAAATTATCCAGAAGGCGAGTGTTTGATTCATGTGTTGAGTAACATGAAGGTTAATGTTTAAGATATTCTCCTTCTTAAATGGCAATTTACAACAGAGACGTAATTCCCCAGAAGTAGCAGCTGACGTTTCATCTGTGCAGCAGATCTTTCCTGATAGTGTTCAATTACCAGAATCTGTCTGGACCTTGCCTGAAGTGTTGACCAACCTCTGTGGTAATTTGTGGAGCTTGTTTCATTGCCTTATTTTGTAACACTCTGCCACATGCTCATTGTTGTGAGTCAGACTCATTAAAAAGTATGTATCTGCTTGAATGGGCAGGCTATATATATATTTATGTGTGTGTGTGTGTGTGTGTGTGTGTGTGTGTGTGTGTGTGTGTGTGTGTGTGTGTGTTCATAGTAGGTTTTAGTTCTTATCAATTAAGCTGCCCACCAAAAAGAAAAGAATGTTGTTGTTCACACTCTCTGTAATATCTCTGTAAATCATTATTTTGAAAACCAAAAAGCAAATTACACATTTTTAAATTTATATTATAGTTGTTCCATAATTAAACCCCAACAATAGAAACTCATCTTTTATTTTTTCATCTTTTTCTACAGTAAACTTACAAACTCCTCTCAGACCATATTAGTCTCCAGTCTGACTTTGATTTAGCTCTGGACATTATTTGCATTATTTTATAATAAACTAAATCATCAAATTTCATAGCATGAGAATTTATTAATGTATAATAATATATTAATGGATTTGTGCCTCATTAATAATACCCATGGCTCGTAAAAACTATTGAATTTATACTGGTTTTAAAGTCGACCCTACACACTACCGCACAATAACTTTATATAGGGAACTATCAGTGAGCAGCGAATTAAATACAAGGTCTTGTGATTTAATATATCACTAGATTTATACAGGATTGCTATTGACTTTGATATTTCTTCTTTGATATAATCGATTAATTTTTTTTTAATTTAGTCTCAAAAACTTTCAATTTCAACGTCTCAGGTTTTTAGTTCAGTTTTTTTTCGATTTCCAAAAATCATAAACTTAGTTTTCTTAATATTAAGTGTCAATTTATTGACTTCAAACCAAGTTTTGAGAACTTCCCGCTCCCTTTCAACCTCCTGCAGAACTTCTTATGAATCAGGTTCTGCTTTGTAGTTTTTTCCCTGGAATACCCTCACAGGTTATCTGACCCTCTGTGGTTGACCACACTGTAGTTCAGTAACACAACCACCACCGCGGTCACCGCTCTGACACAGGTCACCTGTAACAGTCACCTGAGAACTGCAGCCTTGTGTTTGTGCTGGACGTCAGCAGGTCTTATCAGCCGGGCTGATACACCTCTGCTTTGCATTCTCACCTCCCGCTCCTGGATGTGGATTTGTCCACAGCCGCCACAGAGGCTTCCAGTGTGACGTCTGCTATGGCACTTTGCATGTTAGTGTATCACAGTGGGACATTTTTAGGTTGGCTGTAGCTCGTGTGGTTATCTGGGATATAGTGTAGCACTGTGTGCGACGTGCAGGATGTTGTGTATATGACGTTTGACTGACATCAGCGTTTCCCGCCGCTGCTAAAATTTCATACGATCATCAACCCTCTGAGGTCTGAGTATTTTCGCGATTTCTACATCGTTTCTTAAATTCACCTTTTAAAGGGTTGCATATAACTTTATGCCCAAGTGTTGTATGTCACAATTATCTGAAGTATCTCGGCTCTTTCTATAATGACACTCCTGTTTGACCCTCTCTGCACTGTGCGAAGAGAAATAAATTAATAGAAATAAAATAAAAAATAAAAGTGCAATATTTGAGTGTAATAGTAGATGAATGTTTAATAAATGCCTAAAATGAGATTTTGTGATATCATTGAGTCGAAGCGTTGTCTGTCACTCTGCTTAAAGCAAATTTTAGAGGTCTGTTTCGAGGCCTTCACAGATTATAGCAACATTTAAATCATATTTCTACACTGTGTTATCACAAAGATATTAACCGAAACATCTGTCGACCTCAAAAGGATTAATTAATAAATTCTGCAGCTTCTCAAGACCAAGAAAAGTCGTATGTTGTTTCCTCAACTGCTGGAAAAGTGCAAGCAAACATCTGTCCAAGAAAGGCTAACGCTAATGGTACTTTTGTTTGCTGCTATGTAACGTTAGCTACATTCACAGGAAGTCATGCTAATTAGCTGCTTGTCATTACTGCTGTGAGTAATTTTCCGTGTTCTGGCATTTCACTTTTTGATACTAATTTCTACAGTTAAATGTCAAAAGCTGTAAATTAAGACACAGAAGACAAACACGAATCGTCCCATCTATAACAACTATATTTCATTTGAAGCTGTTCTGACTCCGCTGCTGAAATAAACTCCATGGGAAACTCTGCCGACATATTCAAATACTGCACGGTGAGTGTTGTCATAAATACGTGTGATTTTAAAAAATAAATAAATAAAAAAACTTTTTAGATTCCCTTCATCAGTGATTTCAACGTGAAATCGTCAGTTTGACAGTTTGTTGAAGGAGATCTTTCATCTGAGAGTTGCTCAATCATGTCGGTCCCAGACTTCCTGCTGCTGCTATAAATCAATAACACACAGTCTTAAGCCATTAGTATTAGTAAAGCTGCACAGCGAGGGTGTGTGTTGTTTCTCCTCCGTTTCACTCAGTGCACTGAGCTTCACAGATCAGTGAAATACTGTTTTATACTAGAGACTGATGACGGCAGCCGGGACATGTTGACGCTCTGTAG